GGATTGATTTTGTTTTCAGGAGTTCCGCGGTGGCCCAATTCCAATGTGGGTCAGAAGTTTTCAGACTTTCTCCTTAGGTCTGGAATCTTCTAAGAATGATTTTGGCCTCAGGAACTTGGGTGTTGGACTGACCTGAGACCCTGGCAGTGGCTGCGCCACGCAGGGATGCAAAGGCAGATGGGGTGGGAAGAAGCCTCAAGATTTCCCAGGGAGTGGATTGCGTAGCTGGGTTGTACTGGATGCAAAGGACCAGCGAGAGGAAAGTTAAGCCTCGGAGCCCCAGAAAGAGGCTGTCAGTCCCAGCAAGAGGCTGGCAGGTGTTGCAGGACCAGGGAAGTAGAGGGAGGTGAGGGCGGGACCAGGTCCAGAAGCGGTGCCCCTGGAGCCCAAGAAAGACACTAATTGAGTCTGGGTGAGAAGGGTCAGGAAGCAGTATTGGTTCCCCTGGTGTCTGGGGCCCCAAGTCTAGGGATGGCCCAGGTCCAAATCTAGGAGTAGCGAACTGCCCGGTCCAGAAGTGGTGCCCCTGGGGCCCAAGAAAGGCACTAAGTTGGTCTGGGTGAGAAGGGTCAGGAAGCAGTATTGGTTCCCCAGGTGTCTGGGGCCCCAAGACTAGGGATGGCGCAGGTCCCAAACTAGGAGTACCGAACAGCGGGGGAGATGGAAGGGTGAATGTGGTTTGGGGAGTCAAGGCGCGGAGGGCTGCGCTATAGACTTACCCCAAGAGGCCTGAGGATAGGAGTGCAGGCTAGGAGAGTTAGCTGGTGGTGCAGGTCCAGGGACGCAGAGAGAAGTGAGGGCGGGGCCAGGACCAGAAGCCGTGCTCCTGGGGCCCAAGAAAGGCAGTCAGTTGGTCCCAAGAAGCCTGAAGATAGGAGTGCAGGCTAGGAGCTTATTTAATTTTTAAATATCATTTTTAAATTTTAAATTAAATTTTTAAAATTTCAAATACCTTGGAAATTATAGCATTGTAGACTAAACCTCAAGAAGAAATCCTAAGGATGAAAAATAAAAATACAACAAGGTACATTGTAGTCAAATGCTTAAATTCAGTGATAACAAGAAAAAACTTT